AACATTTTTGTTGAAACGAACTCTCGGTGCAAAACATACCATAACAAGTGGTGACAGCGGTGTCTTTCTTATTAAGAAATCGGTCCCGTGATTTTATATTTATTTGAAATAATTTTGGAAACATCCTTTCTTAAGGATTGTCTCTGTCAATGAATGCTTAATTAATTAAGGGAACTGCCCTTCTTTTGGGAATGTGTTCTTGATGAATAATACCACTCGATCACAGTTAAAATTACAAGAATATCACATTTCTGATTTATTACATTGTTCTCCTTCCCGAACACGTAGTAATACTCCTTCTAATTGTAAACAGTCAAGAATTCATTTATTATCTCAACAAAATTCATTAACAACTATGCCAACCTCTCAATCAACATTGGAATCGGTTGAAGAGAAAAAACCTAATGATGATATGTCTTCATTGTATAGTAATTCGACATTACAATCATTGAGAGAGCAAGAAAAAATAGCTCTACAATCTATTAATAAATTAACTGAAGATGAAATGACTCAGATAGATCAATGGTTATTTATTTTACATAATACGTATGAAAATTTGGAATATCCATCATCACTCCGTGTGTTTCAAGCAACTACATATCTTAATGATGAACAACAATTATGGTATGAACAGACAAAAGCTGAAATTAATAATGATTGGTCACACTTTTGTGATCGATTAAAACGGCATATTCAGGATCGTCAGAAAACTCAAATAAACTCATCATCAATGAATCATCCATTATCTGATATTAATGAAATAACTTCGTTGGAAAATCTTATTGATACAAAATTTATTAAATATTCTGGTATAGGTGATGCCAAGGCCTGGATATTACAAGCAATGAATCAATTTAAACAACATGGTTTACGTCGTATAGAACAATTTCAATCTATACCATTTTTATTAATTGATGAAGCTTATTTGTGGTATGTAGGACATATTGATTTAATCACAAATTTTGAATCTTTTAGTAAATTATTTCTCCAACAATATTCATCTACATCACCACCAGCACAAAATAATATTCCTATTGAGGCGGATGTACCGTCAAATTCTATTTCTAGCTCTTTATCTACATCACATTTACAACGCACAATTGCCGATGAAATTATTAAAAAACCAACATATTTTCGTGGTTCAAAAGATGATGTTCGTGAATGGTTAGAGAAATTAGAACAACGTTTTCAAATGGCAAAATGGAATGATGAACAAAAATTACAATATATTTCAATCCATTTACAAGATGATGCA